GACCAGGGTCGATAATTTTAAAAACCAAAAAAAAAATAGTAGGATGAAACCCATTAGAAAAGGAGGGAAATATTATAAAAATGAAAGGAAAAATAATTTACGGGCGTTCTAAGGTCGGGAAGGGGATGGGGGTGAGTTTTTAAGGGTAAAAAACGGTTTTTCTCGATTTCCGGCAAAACTAAAGGTCCTATCGAAAAAAGTCAAATGGCAAAGTTGTAGGTAATAAAAAAATCTAAGACTTTTGTATTTACACTTTTTTCACATAACCTCAAAATTTATGTGAAAAATTCAAAAAACCAAGTTTTTGGTTTTTTATTTTTATCTTTTACAAAAAAAATTTTTAACGAAATTTGGTGAAAACTTACCTTTTTGTGTCCCAAATACGCTGTAATTTATTTGATTAAAAATATGTATTTTTTCACCTTATTTTGAATTAATATCGAAAAAGCACCCTAATATTCAATCGAAAATTCACCCGTCAAAATATCAGATTTTTTCAAAAAGTTGGTATGTTTTCTGTTCTTGAAATCTCTACTTTCCGATGGTGAAAAAAAATATATGTTACTATAGTAAATCTTCTGAGAAAATGCAAAAAACAAAAAACCTTTTTTATTTCATACACTTGCTTATCATCTGCCTTATTGAGGATGATACAAACAGATACCCCCATGAAAAAAATATATTCAAGAAATAAATGTCAAAATGTATCAAAAATATGTATAGTAAATATATTTTTAATAACTAACTTTTGGCCGATTTTCATGTATATTTCATATATTTTATTATAGATTTTTAATATATTTATAATATATTTTTTATACATTTTGACATTTATTTCTTTAATATATTTTTTTCATGGGGGTATGTATACTCACGATAAAATAGTGAAGGCATTATTAATTCGATTTTGTCTTTTCAGATTATCAGTATGGATGAATCTGTTTGTATCATCCTCAATAAGGCAGATGATAAGCAAGTGTATGAAATAAAAAAGGTTTTTTGTTTTTTGCATTTTCTCAGAAGATTTACTATAGTAACATATATTTTTTTTCACCATCGGAAAGTAGAGATTTCAAGAACAGAAAACATACCAACTTTTTGAAAAAAGCTGATATTTTGACGGGTGAATTTTCGATTGAATATTAGGGTGCTTTTTCGATATTAATTCAAAATAAGGTGAAAAAATACATATTTTTAATCAAATAAATTACAGCGTACTTGGGACATAAAAAGGTAAGTTTTCACCAAATTTCGTTAAATTTTTTTTTTTGTAAAAGATAAAAATAAAAAACCAGAAACTTGGTTTTTTGAATTTTTCACATAAATTTTGAGGTTATGTGAAAAAAGTTTAAATACAAAAGTTTTAGATCTTTTCATTACCTTTAACTTTGTCATTTGACTTTTTTCGATAGGACTTTTAGTATTGCCGGAAATCGAGAAAAACCGTTTTTTACTAATGGGTTTTCTAATGGGTTGCATCCTACTATTATTTTGTTTCACTTTTTATTATTTTTAAAGGCTTCTACCCTGGTCTATCGGTGCCATCTCTTTTTTCTTCCTAATTACTGTATAATTTAAAGTCAAATAAGTAGGTAATAAGAACTATTTCAACTTTAAAAACCTTGGTCTCTCCCGTGACCATGTTTGCACTTTGCTGTCAAGCATTCGAAAAAATTCGAAAAAATTCGTGTTAATCTAATAAATTATAAAGGATTAATTATTGAAAAGATTTAAAAAAAAATCATCTTTCATGTTGAATAAAAAATATTATAAAGAGGTAAAGTTTGTGAGTTTGTTACGTTGTAGAGGGTAATCTCTGTATCTACTGAACCGACTTAAATGAAATTTTGGTAAGAAGTAAGTTTGAGACCCTGGGAATTACATAAGAGACTTTTTATCCCGGAAATCGTCCCTTAAAGGAGGTGAAAATGGGGATGAAAGTTTGTATGGGAAATCAAGGTAGGGACGAACCCGAGGGTGTGTCGCTAGTGTTGAAGAAAATGACTAATTTTCTTCATAGCATACACTTTTATTTCTAAATACAAAAATTGAGAGCAAGAAACGGCAAGAAAATCTTCGCAGTAGAAGTAGAAAAGCTCACACTATATACAATTAGTAACATAAAAACTATTCATGATAGAAAGTTATATGTGCACGTCTTACGTCTTCATTTTCATTTCATTCACTAAAATTAATATCTTTCAAGATCTTTCGAGAAAACTTGAAATGTACTTCATATATCTTTCAAATAATTACTTTTTAACTAAAATTATAATTATTCATTTTAAATAAAACATTTCAGATTTTCGGATTTTTCAAAATTGTGAGGTATTCAGAGCCATATACATGATCTTTCCAAATAAATGTATAATTTTACACGTAAACGTCGTCTGCAATAAGTAATAACTATATAATAACCTTAGAAAAGTCCAAAGACCTTCTCTGCCGGGATACAGAAAACGAATCTATACTTTTTAGAATTTTCGCCTGTCTGTCTGTCTGTCTGCCTGTCTGTCTGGGAACGCATCACGAGAGAACTATTAGACTGATTTCCAGTGTGTGCGATGCGCATTACTATTTTTTTTTTAAATTTAATATAATATTATTTCTTTTCTGGATTGAAAGTTCTCTCTGTCCACTTTGAAAAATAATGTAGTGATGTGAAAAAAAAATACCTTTTGTTATTTATTAGGTTACATCAGAACAATGTATGCTTAAGATAATGATATAGATGTATTCCATCTTAGTTATTTTACATCAAATATTAAGAATATAATTTATTACTATTTTTTACTTTTAAATATAGTAATTGGATATTTTTAGTTATCTGTATTTTTTATTTTATTAAATTAATTTAAATTGCTGACGTCTTAGTTTAAGCAACAAAAAAAAATCCTAACAATATGTAACTCGAACAAATCATGCGCATACTATAATAATGGTTTGATTTAGACATAGAATAGATGAATTTACGAAAAAAATTTATCACTAATTAATATATTTTTTTGAAAAATATGGAAATTGGCTTCTAAAGTACCTACTTATACTTTTACTTTAAAATCTTAATTAGAATTAAGCACTATGTATATGTATATAAATATTACTTAAATACTTACCCTTAACTTAATTAAAAATCTAAACAGATGAATATTTGCGACAGTGCTATTTTAATGGCGTATTTTAGTAGCTAAAAGCCATATTTGTAAACTAAACAACTAAACACGTGTGTTTTTCTCCACGTGATAAGGAACCGATGAAAGAAGTCCCGACCTTCCTTATACCTCCCCCCTCCTCGCTATCCTCCCCACCCCTGCCCTCTCCCCCGCACCGCGCACAATCAATAAAACACCTTCAGAGTATATGAAACTTTCAATGCACCAAACCTCTTTTCTGTTCTACCTTTTTGTTTATCTCATTTTTTTATTAGTTTTTAAATGAAATACGCGGAGATTTTATTAAAAAAAGGTTTCATATATATTTTTTATTATTAAGCTACTTATTGCCGGATGATTTATAAGTAGCTCGTGATATATTAAAATAAGAGTAAGTGGTTATAAAAATGATTGTATTTAAAAAGAAATATTAAAATTAAAAAAAACCTTAATATTCATGTCATATAATTTACCTGAAATAGTTATATGTATAACGATCTGAAATAGTTGATTAACTTGAATGTAAAAAGCGATGATTTTATGATAATAATAATAGCAAAGTAAAACCTACTTTTTAGAGACGTTTATAACACTGGCCATACACAACTTAATTTTTTTCCAACCCGAGTTTTCATTCGAAATTCGAAATTGGAACGCAAGCGTTCGCGTCGGGCGAGCTACACTGACTGCCATACCAAGAGATGTAGAGATGTTACACATCCATCGATATTCTATCGATAGTTTTATATTATTATGACGTATCTTAGAACAAAATACTATTAAAACATAATTTACCACTGTGTGAACAATGATACAATAAAAAAGAATCAAATAATTCATCTGTTGTTATGGCGACGAGAAAGAAAAAGTTAATATTAATATATTTTAACATTTTATTATATCTTGACATTTATTTAACATATTACGTTACATAATTGAGGTGATATTGTCACAGCACATGTACTATTTTACTAGCTCGATCGGCTATACTTTCATAATTATGATCTCATTAAGCAAAACGCGGCACTGATAAACACTTTTCACATCGGTTGGGAAAATAAAATTCGCCTCTACCTCCGCTTATCCCAAAAGATAATTACCATACACATTTTGTTTACATAACAAGGCTCTTAAAATGATAGATAAGCTTGAACTTCATATTTAAGCTAATATTTATATCGCCGACAGCTCTAAAATGATTAATTAACGTAATTTGGGTAATAAATACTTATATTTTAAGATAAGATAACCTTAAACGTGTAGGTCATATGATATCATTTTGCATACATATTTAACCTTTTCATATTATATATTTTAAATAAAAATATTTTTAGCAGTTTAAGCCTTTTGGAAATAAGTGAAGTGGGGTTCAAATCCCAGGCCTTACATTTCGGTAAAAGACAACATCATAAGAAAACTTGCATAGACATACAGACTGCAAAAATAGTAATCAAAAAACGTGTGAATTTTGCCAGGCCAGGTTTATCAAGTATTTCAGTTTCTGGCTTGACGTGACCAGCCTCGGGGGCTTGAAAATTAATCCAAGTCAGTATGTTACGTTTTTAATTTAAAGTAATAATATTCATAAAAAAGTATAACATTTTGAATACGAGTATATATAACAGTAATATATATATATATATATATATATATATATATATATATATATATATATAACATTGTTTATTCCCATCCACGTTGTTGAAAGATGGCCAAGAAGTTGGTGCGATCGGTAATTTAAGACAAAGTTGAATTTTCTAAAAAAACATAATCATTACATAATAATATGTAAAAGAAATCATTTAAATACCTAGCAGAAAGTTGGCTTAATTAAAAAAAGAGTACCTATAAATTATAATTATATAGCAGTATTTTATTTGAAGGGTTTAAAATAATTCCCATCACTAGTGCTGACGTCACATTTGATTCAGACGGGGCTGAGCATGCGCGGGAAACCCTTCGCCATTTCCCACCCCTTCGACCACTTTCGGTTATATTCGGCCATTTTCGTACAGGACAGTCGCAATTTTTGCTCTAAAACATAAATAAAAATAATATATTTCATAAAAATGTATTATTTTAATATAGTTTATTTCAATTTGAAGTAAATAGTAATTATTTTTTATAAATATTTTCTTATTTACTTGGTTTAAGAACAAATTCAGAGGGTGCATCGAAAAATCAATAATCGTGGTTAGGTAACAACGTCTTACTAGTCTATCTGTTCTCAGTATGAGATGAAAAAAAAAATATATCTTAGCTTTCTATTACAATACATTTATGTAAGTAAAATGAAAATTTAAAGTAAACAAACAATATCAAATGTAAAAATAGAGGTATATGTAATTTTCCTTAGAACATTATGTGATAAATGATCAAAATGCTCTTTTAATTGGACAAAGTAATGAAAAATGTGTTATTTCATTCATAAAGCTTAAATATATTTTAAATTGTGTATAGATAAATAATATATAGGGTGCATGGCACAAAAGTAATATACATAAAAAAATAGCTCGTCAGTGGCTACGCCCGCGTGTGATACAGCCCACAACTAAACATGGCCCCTGCTTTATATGTTAAGTAATGAAACTTCAAGCTGGCTTTTTGTATAAACATAACAATTTTTTTTATAACACGAGTACTTTCTTAGATTTACGCGAAGATTTGACATTTTAAATAAAACTATCTTTTCGGATTTTATCGTGGATTTATTTTGATTTTTGGTTATTTTTTTATTATTGAGATTATTATCTGTACGATGCAATATATCAATTAAGCCTCTCTATTATCTAGCACTTTCAGGTAAATTTCTAAGAAATTAATTAAATTTCTACGAAATCTATTGTTAATCTGTGACGCCGGCGTGTCCGCGGTCGTGGAGGGACTTGTAATACAAATACGAATATTAATAACTAAAAACTTCTAAATATTACACTCATTATTTTATTTTTTTATTTATCAGCAATTATAGAATGATGATCTTTGATCTACTCTAAGCTTCCATTAAAAAAAACATCCAACGCCTATTGTTTCACGTTGTACTAAACTCACGTTCGTTGTAAGTAAGTATATGTAGCTGTGCTCTAGTAAATACATCGAACTAAATGGTTGGGTTTTTAATTAATTGATTAATCGGCATACGATGAAACTATTTTAACGTGGGCAGTTTGGACTAAGGAGTATACGACAGAGGTACCGGTTGAACTTTACAAAGTGATCATAGGTAATTTTGCCACAAGTTTAGGGATTTAGGGATAATGTACCCTAATATTATAAAGAGCATGGCATGTTATAATAATATAACATAGTTATTAAATTTGTCATTTCAATACAATTATTGAAAAATTCTTCCAAAATTGTGGACTGATGTCTTGTCTATGACCTCTGAGTAGTATTTTTTCTACAAAACACGTAATTATTCTTCGGAATAAACCTTAAAAAAACCTTTTTTCGTATGAAGACTATAACGTGGGCGTCAAAGTTGTATACAAAGTAAATCACATTGAGAGGTTTTCACTTAAATGCATTCTGACCTTCACTGGCGTGCTATATTTAGCTTTTCCGCTTCAAAACTCGACCCTAGCTTGGTATACGATTTAATCTATTAGGAGTGAGAAATACCCATTGTACGTTTGAACTTTCTAGATGTTCCGTTGTTTTTGTTTAAGATTTCTTTTTCAATCGTTTGAATTAAAACTTTTTTTTATTTAAGTATCAATACCAAAATTCACGGTAAAAGGTAATATCCCACGGGAACCGTACATTTTCCGGGATAAAAAGTAGTCTATGTGTTTGTTATTTCAGACTATAATCTATATTTGTGCCAAATTTTATCAAGATCCGTTCTGCTGTTCTGGTGTGAAAGATTATTCATCCATAGCATCCATACTCACAAACTTTCATATTTATAATATTAGTATAGATGGTAATTCTGAACTACTAGAGTTATTCCATCGGGTGTTTCCCCCGTCATAATGGGACTAAGAACTTTCGGCGAAAACTTTATTTGAAATAAAAAAAATTGGTGATGATAAAAACGTAATAGAAGCCGAAATGGCTAAACTGATATAGATCGGACTTTTTGGTAAAGTAAATTATAGTTTGAATTAAAAACATAAGTAGAATTTATTAATTGTTTCAAAAAATATATTCCAAGTTACAGCTCTCTATCCATTTCCATGTCTATACATACAATAAAACAGTAACTTAGCAAAATTAATGTGCGCGTTCGGCGTTTCACGCAAAAAGTACTAAACCAACATTACACAGATTACTACAGGACACATTACTACAGGAAAAGGTTTCATTCCCACGGGAAAACACAACAACTGGTTCTATCGAGTCGTTCTTAAACATGTCTAGCGCTGGCTAAGCCTAAAGATATACATCAAAACAATGTACTAGAAAATTGTAGGTTTACAGAATAATCTGCAATAGCATAAGTCTTTCTCCTAAGGTACACTCGCAATAAGATATCTATAAAACGAGGGTCACAAGAAAAATACAAACTCGAACGAAGATATCGACTGGAAATGTTTCAGGGCCTCTTTTTACGTAGGTAGACAGTAGCAGTAGTACTTTTAAACACTTAAATGGTTTAGTATATATATATATATATATATATATATATATATATATATATATATATATATATATGTGTATATATATATATATATACAGGAGTCTTAGTAATAGGGTCCCGTTTTACCCTTTGGGTACGGAACCCTAATAAACTACTCTAAAATACTGTTGTGAATGCAGAACCCGAACCATACTTGAAACGTGCGGTTTCTCGATAACCAATCACAGCGGGAGGACCTTGGGCCCTCATCAGCTGCTGGCATAGCTCGATAAGCTATCTTTCTCGCACCCATCTACGCGTAGCCATCTACGCATAAGACTTTTTTGTAGTACTAATTTGTAAACTTTATTTACGTCTGGGAATGGTTTAAAACCGGTAAATTCGTCTGGCGATTTGCAAGTATTATTGAAAATTGCTCAATAAATATGTGATTAAAATTTCAGATTGGCAAAAGTATATTTTTGGTAATTTAAAATAAAGTATCTTTGAAGAGGTCTGGCAATACTTTATAACCGACAAAAATGTCTGGGGTTCTTTTTTTTGAATTATATGAAAACTAAATTAAAAAATTACACAAACATCAAGTTGCCAAAAATATGTCTTTTTGGATATTTTTATTGCAAATGTTATATACTGCGCAGTAGCGTAATAACCGCTAAAACTATACCAGACTCGCGGGACTGGACTCGCCAATTCACGAAATTATATTTTTTCACAATTTCAACTTGCCAAAAGGACCTTCTCAAAATTCGTTACGAGCTCTCGTGCTAATATTACATTCTACAATCGTAATAATTAATAGAAAATAAAAAATAAATAGAAACAAATTGCCCCAATCTAATTTTTATGTTGGAGGCAACGAAAACCACAAAAAAATCGATTTATAAGACTAACCGTTTAGTTTATTGTAGGTACATATATTAAATGCAATTTAATTGAAATATATGAATTTAGTGCAAATATACGCATTAAATAAGATAAATTTTTATCTACTAAACATATATCCATTATAGGTACATTATGACTTTTTTTTTAGTCGACGCAAAATCTATATTGCTAATCGACTATTATGATAGACATCTTGATTTATCTATTAGCGATATAGATTTTACGTGAACTTATCTATCTATGGAAGCATATTCAGACAAATAATTGTCTTGTTTAAGTTTAAATCGTTAATTAAAGCAGAATGTAGCTACGAGACAACTACCAGAGCGGTTTACGCCACAGCAAAAATTCATTAATTCGCTACTGAATTATACGCCATAAACTTCGAAATTTACGCGACCTTCGCCTTTCCTTGGCGTAAAGCCAGAATAAAAAATCGATAGTGTAAATACAAAATGCAGATTTTATAGCAACGTCATAAACATACACTTTAAATAATGGTTATAGTACATTATTGAACGGTTGCTTCAAAATAACCTTGTATTTAGGCCTTTTTAACGTTCCACTGCTGGGCACGAGCCTCCTTTCAATACAAGGAGGATCAGGGCCATACTCCACCACGCTGGTAAAATGCGGGTTGGCGGACTTCACATATCTTTTGAAAACTTACTAGTCTCTCTCTCTCAGATATGAAAGTCTCCTCATGATGTTTTACCGTAAGAAAAGTGGTAAAAAATCATGTTGTAAATGATGCAAACATAAGAATATCCGAGGTGCGAGACTGAGTTTGTGAAATAGACAGACAGATCACTTAATTATAGTAGTCGGTGCCAGCCGATACAAATCAAAGCACACCGATTTCGAAAATATCTATAGTAAATGAAAACTACCAACCAGTTATTTTTTACTTTTTAGTGGGTTTTTTTGAAGTCGGTACATAATGTGTAGTGATATTCAAACAATACCTAAAATCAATTAACATACTTTTAGTCGCGCATTTGTTTTATATACGTACGTACGTACGTTTTGTTTTTAATATTCGTTCGAAAATATATGTTCATTTAATATATCTCATTTCGTTTATTTACACCCGTTATAAATACGATGATGGGACATTAACACACAGCACCATCTAGTTCCATGGTAAGCTACAAGGCTTGTGTTATGGATACCAGATAGTCGATACACTATACATAACAATTATAACTTTAAATACATACATATTATAAATATAAACAACCATGACTGGATTACAAACATTCGTGCTCATCACACAAATGAGTGCCCCCAGCGGGACTCGAACCCGCGACCGCTGGCACAGCAAGTAGGCACACTACAAACTGAGCCAAACATGTCGTCAAATTATGACTACCAGTAATAGTGAATCTGTATAGTTTAGTTTTAGATTTTAATTACAGATTATAATTATTAGCTGTATGTATATTTCGTTGAAATTCTATAGCCTTTAAAAATGTATACTTAAGAGGACCATTGTTATCACAATAGCGTTAGAAGGATCTCCTTTAGGGCCGTATTAGATATCAGTATCCCTCAAGGGCCTATTCTTGGGCCATTTCTTTTCTTTACTTAAGAGTATATAAATGATTTGACTGCGTTATATTTACATGTTACGTTATTTAGTATAACATGCCTAAGCCATTTTTTAAAATGAGTCATCTATTAGGTATTACTATCGATCATTTT